ACTTTTATTAGTAGTATAGATAAGTGATTTATCAAAAAAAAATTAGACTAAAAATGTATGAGTAATACTATTTACACCTAAAAATTTATTATAATTTATTGACCTAATAATATAATTTTATTGAAACTATTAGATTAACACCAAATTCTAATATTTGATAGGATTCATAATCAATCTAAATATCATAGTAAATTAGATCAGAAAATAAATTAATAAATTAAATCTCAATAACATTGTTCAAAATATATTAAATAGAATCTTACTCTACAGAAAAATATCCTTGTCAACATGAGTGATGAATTGTAACAAATAGTCTGGGCTGCATTGAGTTCCAATTCAAAGTACGTCTGTAAGACACAAACGATCAATTAAACACGAATAAATGAATGGAGTAGATTGGTATTAACTACGAATAAGAGAATTAATTTTGTAATTGTTGGTTCAAATATTTTACACTAAACATGGTTTTTTATTAGTATGAGAATTAATTTTGTAATTGATGGTTCAAATATTATACAAACACGACGACACAAATTCAAAACGACACGACTCAAATATTAATCTCACACTTATAAACTTGTTTCAACACTAGAGGCATGTTTGTTTATTGGTAAGGGTATTTACCCTACCCTATAGGTAGAAAATATGATCTTTCATCTTTCTACCCGATATTTTATGAAATATTTTTTTTTTGGTTTACCCGATAAATTTTTTATTGTTTAATCTCAAAAAATTATTAAAATTTAAATTTATAATTCGTCCGTGCCTTATTTGAAATAGGGAGAAGAAAAAGGTGAGTATAAAAAAAAGGGGGGATGGATTTGCAAAAACTAATTCAATACCCTTTGAAAACCGTCCACACATGCTGTAGTAGTCATAGTATGCCACGTGTTAAGTGAGTCATTTGCACAAAATAAAATAGTAATAACACAACAAAATCAACGTAAGTAAGCCACTGTGTAATTCAAGTGAATTATGATCAGACGTCCTCAACCTCACATAAACTTTATATAATCCCATCATTCATTGGTGGATAACCCAACTCGAAATTGACTTTTATTTTTTGCAACCAATGAAACAAAGACACGTACTGCCTTTTTGTCGCCAATTTCCTTCGCACTCTTTCTTTTCCACCTTTATATACCCATCTCGATCCTTTCATTTCCACCACCTCTCCGGTTCTCTGGCAATTTCCTGTTCGCCCTCTGGGGTTAGTTCTTATCTCCCTCTCTTTCTCTCTCTCTCTCCAAATATATAAACATATATTCATATTTTTGTGTGATTTATGTATGTATTTGTCTGATCGTTGAGTTGGTTTTTGATGAAACTTGGGCTTTTTTTTTTCTTTCTTTTTGTAGGGGATTAGAGGGAAAAAGGGCGACCGAATAGATTGTCTCCTCCGAGGTTAGTTTTGTTTCATACTCTGTTTTGTGTGTTGGGTTTTTCATGTAGTAATTGATCGATTTATTAAAGTTTAGTGCCCAATATTATTAAATTTTTGATTGGGTTAGCAACAATCGAGTGTGTTGGCAGGGGTGTACTGGGTACACATCAAATCTTTGATATTCTCAAATTCAAATCCACAAGTTCACAGTTGTTAGTTTGGTAGCTTGTACCGCTACACCAGGACCCATAGGTATATACATATTTATGTATAAATACATTGAATATTAGTATATTATGATCTTATGTGCAATAAGAAGGGGCTTAAGTACATGTTTTTGGTTGAACATCTGAGTGATGAGGAATAGATTGGGAAATAATCAATATATTCACAAGATTGGCAAGTTTTGGTTGGTGTGGAGAGGAGACTTGCGTTATGTTCTTTATTTTTACTTTCAAGTAATACTGATGGTGAATTTTATGGTTTGAAAAATGAGTGGAGCTATGTTCTACTGGTTGATGTCCTTATGGTTTGATTAATGGTGTGCTTTGTCGATGTGGGAAGAAAAGTGCATGATATGGGAACTAAGAACTTGTAGATTATGATAATTATAAGGTTATATGGCATTGAGAAGGAAACTATTGTTGTCAAACTTACATCTTTGATGTTTCAGTCTTCCACGTTTTATCACTCAAGTTAGTGTGGGTGTTGACACAACAATGTGGCTATTTCTTTGTAATGTGAGTGACATAGGTTCGGTTCACAGAAATTGCCCCTTTGAACATGGTGAATTGTTGAATACATCCATCCTCTTTACACTCACAGTATCGAGAGTCTCGTGTAATGACTATCCTATTCTAACATGTACTAGGGGTAATCCGTGCCTGAATGCATGGTACAATGTGAATGTTTTTAAGAGAGATGTTGGTGGCCGTTGGATGAGTCTATTTAAGACCGTTGAATGAACTTATTGAAGTCTGTCCCATTTTATATTATAAATTGTATTCATTTTAAAGGTGAGTTTTGAAGTAGCGATAAGAGTTATCCACTGTGAACTTGGTGTTGAGTTCGAATCGCGAAATAGTTTTTTTGCATGTAGTGGTAAGAATCAGTACATTTTAACATGTATTGTATTCATTTTAAAGTTGAGCCTTGAAGCAACGATAAGACTTCTCCACTGTGAACTGGGAGTTGAGTTTGAATAGCGAAAACAATTTTTTCTCATGCAGTGGTAAGAATCCGTACATTTGACCATCTTCAGACCCTGCAATGATGGGTGTCTCATGTGTGGAATCGCTCTTTATATTGTAGCATATAGGATGAGATAACAGCAAGGTGAAGCAAAAGTGGGATGTTGTATGCTTCTGTTTTTATAATTATTTGTTTTTTCGACGTTGTGGCGGTGGATTTTGTGGACACGATGAGGGTTTTGGCACTAATGTGCGGGTGGTCAAGATAGTGAGGAGATGTTGGAGGTGAAGGTGCAGCTTTAAAGTTGAAATTAGTTGTACTAGAATTAGGGAAGGTGGCAACAACTGCAAATGGAGGTTAAGGTGGTACCATGGGTAGTGCATATTCAAGAAAAGGAAATTTTGGCAACACTTTTACGAGTTCAGATGGTGACATTGATGGTAATGGTGATAGTACTGTTGTAATTAAGGTGCAAGAGCTGGTGGATATACTATGATTGTAAGGGAGTGATTTTGTGGTTTGGTGGAGGTGGTTGGAACTTTAGTGGTGATTTGTGGTGGGGGTATTTACAGAGAGGTGCTGGAGGTTTATGATGGTGGCACAGTGGAGGTAGTATCAATCATAGTTATCAAATCGTGTATCGGAAGGCGTATCGTAAGATACAAATATTGTATCGTATCGTGTATCGTATCGTGTATCGTAAGATACGATGCAATTTTAAATAAATAATAAAAAAATATATATACCTTTGAAAAAAGTCATACACTCATAAAAAATATAGCATTTCATTAATACTCCACCAATTATTCAAGTTATCAACATAATCCACTACTATTATAATGCAAAGTTCACAACCATAGTTCACTAATTCAAACTTTAAACACCAAAGAGACTTCTAATCCAAATTTCTAACATCTATTTTGAACTCAATCTTCAATTTCAATTGAAAATGCATCATCATCATCATCATTGTGATCGGATGCCAACAAGTCTTCACTTGTCGTTTTTTTAAAAAAAAAATCAGAGCACAAAACGACGTCGTTTTTTTTTTAAAAAAAAAAAAAAAAAAAAAAAAAAAAAATTGCACGTATCGTGCGTATCGTACCGATACGTATCGTATCGTAAAAACGTATCGTGTATCGGACGATACAACGCAAAAACGATACATAACTACGATCCGTATCGTTTTAGGGCTGTATCGTAACGTATCGTACGATACGTATCGCGTATCGTACGATACTAACAACAATGGTATCAATGAGTTGGTTGTCTACAATTAGCTATGTTCAGAGTAACACGATTTGAGCATGCCTTAACATTAAATGCTACTGGATTATATTGCTTCACAACTTGGACACTTCGTGATCTTTTAATGTTGAACTCTATAGTCAATAACACGATATAAACCTTGGTTTTTCAGATCAATACCACAAAGCTGCATGAGTTTTGGAAGTTCTGAATATATTAGATTGGTTGTCGAGGTTGTCACATTAAGCTTAGGATGAGAGTAGTTTATGCTATGTGAATTGTGGATTGTCTTCATCTTTGTGATTATATATGCAAAATCTATGTAATCTAAGGCCCCATTTATATACGGTAATCCTAACTAGAAGTGGATATCCCATTGCTAACAAAAAGAAATCCGGTCTTAATTTTTTACCATGTTAATCGTATATTTATTGTTTGGTTATTGTCAGGAACCTTGTCTGGAAATCAATACCATTCAATGATTGTTAATGATTTATTTATATATATGGGAAATTTTGGTAAAAGAAACTTGATTTTGGAAAGATGCTTGATTTTATGAAGGAACTTGATTTTGGGAAAAGCTTGATTTTGAAATTTTTATTTTTTAGAATTTCCAATCAAGCTATTAATGAGATTATAACCATTGCTCATAGGTTTCAGATACCCATTACCTTTGGGAATTTGAATGCAGTTAATTGTGGGTCCGGTTTAAATTGCTGATTAGTTGACTATCTAAAACAGGGTAATCTTGCTTTTTGGGAATGAGGTTCCTATTCCAAGCAAAGATTATTTTCTTCCAAAAGGAGCCTAGATTTTTTCTAGAACATCTGCAGTGTTATGTTTTTCATTCAATGAATTGGTACTTGAAACTCTTGATTTTTGTATGTCAGAGCTCAGTCCATGTTCCAGAGATGGAAAATTCAAAAATGCATTGTTTCTAATGAACTGTTTGGTTTATGCTTTTTAGCCTTTCAGGAATATTGACAGCAACTTGACCTTTCAGAGAAATATAATAGTTTCATTTCGGAGGCAATGACATTTTGTGATATACAACTATAATTTATGTTTTGTTTGCAAATTTTGTGCATGCTTTAAAATGAATGTTTGCTGGTAAGATGCGAGTGTTTTGATTATTTATACCTGTCTAGACCCTAGGGGAGTGGTGCCAGTGTTCACAATGGAATTAGGGGTACAGTGGGGTTGTGTGATATGGAGGTTGAGTTCTTAATGGTATATTTTATGGTTTTGTTTTGGTAATTCTGGCACAGGAAAGTTGAAAATGGAGCAAAATCAGACGGGATGCCAAGCTGCTCCTCAAGGTCCTGTCCTGTGTGTCAACAATTGTGGATTCTTTGGAACTGCAGCAACCATGAACATGTGTTCCAAGTGCTATAAGGATTTGACTTTGAAGCAAGAACAGGCTAAACTTGCTGCATCATCTATTGAGAGTTTTGTTAACGGCAGCTCTAGTAGCAATGAGTTGGAGTTGGATGTTCCTGTAGCTGTTGGTACACAGGCTGGTCCATCAGAGTTGCAAGTTGTATCAACAGAAGCATCTGGTGCATCAGCACTGAATGAGAAGGAAGAGAAGGTTAAAGAAGGGCCAAACAGGTGCAACACTTGCAGGAAGCGCGTTGGCTTAACAGGTTTCAATTGTCGATGTGGAAACCTCTTTTGTTCAATTCATCGCTACTCTGACAAACACGACTGTCCCTTCGATTATCGCACTGCTGCACAAGATGCTATTGCCAAAGCCAACCCAGTTGTTCAGGCTCAAAAGCTCGATAAAATTTAGGGAGTCTTGTATTGAAGGTTCATGAACTGCAATGTCACTGTCCCCTTTCTCTATGAACCTTCTTGTTTATCATTTCTCCTGTTACGTCTCTCGTGTGTTATAAATGGTTGATGGCATGACAGTTAACAACACCTTTCCGACCTGAAGAACTTTGTAGTCTTGCTTATCAGCATGGTTAATTCTATGGCTCTAGTGTGCTTGTTTGTGCTAGTTTGTGCTTGTTTATCATCAAAGTTTGTAGTTAGCTATAAAGGTCTGGGTCTAACAGTGAAATTTATAGGAGATACCTGGTAAGTAGTTTTATTTGCATTCTAGAAATAATGGAATTGGACTCGAACCCATAATCTATCTCGTGGATGGATGAATATTTGTTATCGCTTTAGGTTTGACTTCCCTTGGAAAGCACAACACGTGTCTCCCAATTGTGGTGACAACAACCTCTGAAAGCAATCTCTTTGATTTATGAGATGGGTGTTTTATGGTGTTCCTTTTCTTCCCAAGGTGCCAAAAGAAAACTGAAAAAATAGAAAAAGACAAAGGGAAAGTATGAACATGTCCTTAATTATATCGTATTACCTAGCTGTAAGGTGCCCCCAAGGAAGGCACTTCACTTTATTAGCTTGATTTCCTTTTCATTGTGGTCCAGTCGCAGTGGTCATAATCATCAGCACATCTACTACGACATATTTGTATTTATGGGCTTTGGATACTACATCGAATTATGTGATCATTTCCTACAAGTGTCGGTGCACATTAACCGGGGTTCTGTGACCGAGTCTGATCTCTTAGAATTTAAAGGTGTTAAATTCAACACTTTTTATATCCCTCAAGGGTCAAGCATCTTTGTTATTTAGGAGACATGTTCTAAATTTATTTAGAATATAGTGGCCAATATTCTAACTCAAATAAGTAATCGACACAATGTACCAAACAATAAAAATAAAAATGCACATGAACTGTTTTTGTGTTGTCATATTTTTCCTGTACAGTGATGGGGAGGAAAATTCAAGTTTGGTTGTCCAGATTGTCATATAATGTCACTTCACCATAGGGTCTTAATCGAGTTTTATCATGTTTGAAAGGTGTTTGGAATTCCATTTGAATCCCTAACATTGCTCTTAATTATTTGTTTTGCTTAAAATCAAAGTTTAAAAACTACAAGCATGTTTACGACTGTTTTATAGTAATATACATAAATTTTACTAAATAAATACACTTTAATTATTTATACTTGTACAAGGATTTCAGCTTAGGGGTCATCAAGCAGATGATCTATATAGCGTGGGATAGCAAGAAATAATACCTGAGATCCACCTATTACCTTATTTGTTAGGCATTTTATATGCAGTACTATTTTTTGGACTATAATACCGACACGATTTGAACAGTACTTGTCCATAACTTTAATGAATACCACCTATTAGGTAGTATTATTTGTTAGTATAGATCTACCAATGGTACAAACAAGGAAAATGACTCAAATATCCTCCTCTGTGTAAAATTCACATATAAAAAATTTATTTTGAATTTTTTCTTTATATTATGTTTAAGTGTACGGTGTCAATAGTTTTTTTTTTAAAAAATTATCTTGAATTTTTTCCTTGTATTATGTTTAAGTATACGATGTTATCGGTTTTTTTTTTTTTTAATTTTTTTTTAAAAAATTATTTTGAATTTTTTCTTTATATTATGTTTAAGCATATTGTGTCACCGATTTTTTTAATTTTTTTTTTTAAATTCTTATATTATTTTGGATTATTTTGAATGGTGTCACCGATTTTTTTTTAATTTTTTTTATGGTGTCACCTATTCATAGTATCATATTTTTTATTTTTTATGTGAATTTTTTACATTATCCAGAATTTTTTGAGTATAGATTGTCATACCATGTATTATACCAAACATTGTGGAAAAGTATTACACAAACAGAGTAATGGAATGAATGACTTTAAGAGTAAAATGATATATTTGTTATACAAGATGTGATAGAATAGATGGTTGTTTATGGAACCCACCATAGTATCTATTGAATAATAAACATAGGAGAAAATTAGAATATTTTCTATTACCGGTAATAATTTTCATTGGTATTAAAAGTGTAAGGACTACATTTATTAATACCATGCATAACAATACTCAAACCAAACATGCCCCAAGAAGATTAGATTAGGGTACTAAAGGCATTATCATATCCAGAGGATAAGTCTACTGTATCCAACGTTTTTTTTTTTAATATTGCACTAGCAATTACTAATTTTTGCCACTAACTAATAAACTTTTAGGGTCAAGTTATAACTCTTTGAGAGTATTTAGGATCGACTTTGAAATGTTAAGGTCGATCCTAATTGCCACCCAAAAGTTATTACTTAACTCTCAAAGTTGGTAGCTTCATCCAAAAAAAAATTCTAATGTGATTACAAAATGTTGTAACTTTTTGTGTTGTAATTATAGATCTAAAAATTTTATTTTTATCCAAAAATATTATAAATTTTGGTTCCTTACCCACTTCGACACCATATTCGGACTATATCAAAAGTAAATAATCTTTTTTGAATCAGGTTATGATTTGTTGGATCAAATAACAATTGAATAAGGTTAAATTACGATAAAACAAAAATTGAGTCGACTCTAAAATATTATAATCGATCTAAAATACCTTATTTTTTTGTTGTAACTTGACTTAAAAATGGTTTCCTACTCCTTGATCTAACATTACCAAACAGATTGTAAAGAAAGAGTACATGGGAAAATACATTGAAGCAATGGAAATTAGAAAGCAAACGCGTTCTGTTGTCAGAGAGTGTTCGGCAATTTCCTTAACCACCAAACAAATACACATGTTGCACTTGTCATTGGGCCAACAACATTGGGCGGCTGAGTGCGGCTGTTTTTTTTTTTTTATTATTATTTTTTTTTTCTCTTTACTTTTTTCTTTTTCTTATTTTTTCCTCTCTGATTTGTTTTCCTTTTCCCTCTTTGCATGTGATACGGTTGTGCAATCGGAAAGCTTAGCATTTGTTTGATAGTAAATTAAGAATCCTTACAAAAAAGTTTGACTACACAAATCAAAATGAAACTATTCCTCTTCAAGAGTCCTGTCATCATGATACCGAAATATATTATCTACGAAATATAAACGTATATCTAATAAAAAATGTTCAATGTATTTTTTTTTTTTGGGGGAGGGGGGATTATTTCAATTGAAATCAAGGCGAGTTGATTCTAACATCACCTAAAATTGAGGGGGTAATTTGTAATTGATAAGAAAATAATAGACTATCGATAAATTGAAAGAATGGAGAAAGATTTACCGCGGGACACACTTATTGACTGGTCCCACATGGTAATTGGGACCAAGTCATGGCCGCTGACTGTTGGATTCCACCTTGAGTGGTTGATCCCTCTTATAGAGTATATATCCGTGAAACTTTTGAATGGGGGGGCATGGATTTACGAGACGCGGAGACCGGTTAAAGAGACGACGCCGCATCGAACGCAAAGTGGAAACAGGTTCCGCGTCGGCCAATTCGATGACGCCATGTGTAAATTAAAATCTGACGAGTACGCGGACACGTGTACGTTCAGGCGAGAGCTCTATGCATGAGCGTGAAAGAAAGGGACGGTCAGACAGGGCGGCTGAAAACCGGAGGTGAGAGACAATGGCCCTCCTCTTATCTTATCAATCCACGGGTGGAGTACGAGGGATGCTGCGAAATTACCTAATTGTCCCTCCGTTGTATCAATTCAAGGCAAAGAGCAGGATTACTTTTGCCGCCTTTAGACCAATGTAGGTATGTGTTGTTCCGCAGATAATCTTTTATCCATTAAACCAAGTTACAATTTAATAAGATTTATTTTATAAATATATTTTTGTTTTAGTAAAATATTTTTTAAATATAATTTGTTCTATATTTTTAAATTTTTTTATTTTTGGCTTCAATTTTAATCTTTTCCTTCAAACTTAATTGCAGATAATAAAATATAATCGATAGAAGGACTCGAATCTACTAAAAAATAAGGAGTTGAATCTCAATTATCACACAAATAATATACCACTCACACTTCATGAATGAATTAGTTGAATAATTATACTTAAACTATCTTAGATATCAATCACTAAACTAAACAAAGTAGTAACGACTCCAAGTCAATGCACTACGATTCTTTTTCTTATTATAGGGGTCAATCAAGCACGCTTCACCTCTCGGAAGCAAAAGGGCGAGCTAATAAGGCCCTTGACCCCTGTCCTAAACTAGGTGGGTTTATTTTTTGTTTCATACTCTCCCATAATGATATATATCATGATCCACAACAATTGAATTTTTTTTTTTACATCTCCTTGTACTTTGAATTAATCAATAAACTTATTGATTTGATTCATGACATTTCATTTGGTTGAGAGGGAGGATGTGGATAAGTCACTTGAGCTGCAGATTTGTCAATTGGTTGATTCTCAAAACAAACAAATTACACATTTGTGTGATTCAAAATTTTGTTTATTCTTTTACCATTATGTTGATGCATAAGAAATTGTTATTTCCTGCTCTTGAATTATTTTAGTGCTTACATCTTGAGCATTTTTCATATTTCAAATTTATTTGAAGATTTATTATTTCCTTGAAAAAGTCATACTACACCTGTTTTTATCACCCATGAATTCTTTTGTTTAAATCTCCCAAATTGGGTAAGAATGACTTCAAAAATCTTTGAATATACTCGTATTAAATATACTCTATTTTTTTAATATCACTACACATTTAACAAACATGTCTTAGGATCTTGATATTTGACACGAGTAATTATGTCTAATAATTAAACCATAATTGGTCTAAATTTAAAATGATATGATCCGAACTAATATGATGTCACTCAACTAACAACTCTAATTACCATCAATAATACAATAATTACACAAAGATAAGACTTAGCATATTGAATAATTCCCTTTTGATATCTTAGTGAAAATACTAGAAAATAAGAGCAACATTACGATTCTACTATGATGAGATTACGATAGGAAAAATCTTCTTGTTTGAGATCAATAGTAACATGTTAAGATCAATTCGTAAATTAAAAAGTCTCAATTTTTTTTTAACAATAATTTAAGCTCATAGAATTGTAACTAATTTTTTGTAGTCATAACTTAATTTCTCATAAATTGTAACTAACAATCTTAATGAAGCAAATTGTAAACTCAAGCATTTTGAATGAATAATGTTATTTAAACATAAAAATATGACTTAATTTACTGACATAACGATGTGGCTTCATAGGAATCATTAGATCAACATCAAGTTTCAATATTTGATGAAATTTATTGTCAATTCAAAGGTTACAGTGAATTAGGTCAACAAATTTTGTCAATCAATTAAGTCTCAATAGCATTGCTCATTTTGAATTTGAATCTTAACAATTTTTTGTGGCTAAGTTATGAGAAATTTATTCATCATGAATATTCTAGTTCCGATTTGGATGGTTTACCTCTGACCTGATTGAAAAAAAATTAGTCAAAGTGCGCGTAAACGGATTTAGACACCCTTAATCGTTGAATTAACAAAAAATAAAAAATAAATTGTAACTATGCCCTTTAGTTGTGCATTTCATTTTTTTTGTTCGCTTATTCAAAAAAGTCACAAGGTTATTTTGGTAAAGTAAACACAAAAAATGGCTGATACGCGTCTCTTGAGGCCCATATTTTATCGCCATTACCAACCTCTCTCGAACCTCCATAATAAAACTCCTCACCATCTCCTCCCTCTCGCTCAAACCCCCAATTTTTCTCTCAATCCCAACTCTCTCTCTCTCTCTCTCTCCAAATTTGATAAACGCCCATCAATATTCATATAATTCTGATACATATCGAAATCTTTCGTAAAAGATGGCTCAGAAGACGGGAAAAGAAGAGACTGAATTCAAGGTCGTACCAGAAACCTTGACGCTTTGCGTGAACAACTGCGGCCTCACTGGTAATCCGGCGACCAACAACATGTGCCAAAAGTGCTTTATCTCCACCACCGTCACCACCTCCTCCTCCGCTGCCGCTGTAGCTCCGGCGACGTTAAAGTTCTCCGAGAAAAATCGTAGATCTAGCCCGTCAGATTCGTCGGCGAGGTCATCGGAGCTGTCTGGTACAAATACCGATCAGACGACGCCGGATCGGGAAGAAGAGGAGGCGAATACGTTACTTTTGGCGAAGAAAGCAGTGAATCGGTGCTCAGGCTGCCGGAGGAGGGTAGGTTTGACCGGGTTCAGGTGCCGATGCGGTGAGCTGTTCTGCTCGGAGCATCGGTACTCCGACCGACACGATTGCAACTACGATTACAAGACGGTAGGACGAGACCGGATCGCCAGGGAGAATCCGGTGGTCAAAGCTGCGAAGATCGTCAAAGTTTGATTTTTCAATATGTATTTGTGAAATGCAATTGAAAAATGAAATGTTGAGATCGAGGATCGATCGATCTATATATTATATTCTGTCTCTAAAGAAGAGAGAGAAAGGGAAGTTTGTTGAAATTTGGCAAGGAATTCTCTCTGGTTAATTGCTGGTGGATTAATCTATTTTGTGATATTAATTATTATTGTGTGATTTTAATGATATATAAAGGATTGTAATTTTTATCTGGATTTTCATTTTCTTTTTGTTGTGGTTGTTTGGTTGCGTAGAAAATAGAAAATGGGCAATGAAAAAGAATCTGAAATTTCTGATGCTTTTGCAGAAACTGACAAAGGGAAAGAGGTCAGAGGGGGCATGTTTTTGTAAATCTGAGGGAGGGTTTGGGGGTGGGTTGTCATTACAGGTTTTCGGACAAAATTGAAAAGTGGTATCTGTCTAGTGGAGGTTTTGAAGGTTGTGTGGGGTATATGAAAAATATATATATATATTTCTAACGGTAGAAGTATCCGAATTAATTTAGATGGTCTAGATTAATGGGACTACTTTGTCAATATTGTAAAAGCGCGCAACAAATGAAAAAAATTTAAAAAAAATTCTAAATTTCAACATTGATTTTGGTTACCCTACAATTAATTTTAGGGATAGTTGTACCGGCAGTCCCGTGAGCTTTTAAATGTCTTATACTTAAAATTATATTAGACACACTCGTTTCTATAGATGAAACAGTCAACCAAAATAGCTTGGAGAGAAAGAACGCAAAGTAAGGTTTTCAAGTTCTCGAGTGACAACCTAAGGAACAATTAAAGGACACAAAGTAGGGTTTTCAAGTTCTCGAGTGCTGACCTAATCGGCCTTTTTCATTTTATTTAGTGGACTAAAGAATTGGTACTTCTCTTGCCAATTCTTTCATTCCCGAATGAAAGGATGATACTTTTTCTATTCTTTCTATATTTGAGCCCATTTGATTTTTCTCGACTCTTTCAATAGATACCAAAATTCAAAATGAAAGTAACACAAATTTTAAATATTAAAACTATAGAATAATTAGTCATATCACAGAAATCAAATTTGACTGGTCTCTCTTGGGAAGGGCCACTCAGTCAACAAGTAAAACAGTGTCCCGCACCTCCCAAACAACTAGGATGGTACATAACACATCCTTAGGGAGTAAAATATTAAGTATAACAGTGACAACATGTTATGTCATCAACCAATAATAAATTTACAAATAGACAAAATAAACCCCAGTTATTAACTTATATGACATGACAGTAATTAGAATATATAGAATTCACCCGCCCACATGTTATCTTATCATTGAATGGTTACACTGTGTCAGCATGATAACATGGTGTAACAATTACTCCCAGTATTTTTTCTCCAGGAGACGGCCCGGGGATGTTGGGGAGGGGAAGGGGAGGGAGAGGGGAGTTAGGATACAGTTGTTTCCCTGCCATGGTACTCGCACTATCAAAGCTACCATTTTCGTATCAAAAACTACAGTTAATTGTAGAGAGTATACTTAATCCAAACACTTAAAACAACAACCTTTTGAATTTAGAGGACTCCTCTACCCATGTTGGCATAGTGGTTTACAGACGATCAAACTAGTAAAGGCACAAGTCTACGCCCCATCGGGCTGGAGAAAAGGATTGGCAATTTCATCTGTACCATCGGTTGGTGATACAAGCATTACAGCAGTTCCCCTACAGACCTGCAGAAGTACAGCACAGCAACACAAAATCACAAATAGGCATGAAGAATTTCTACGATATGTTTCGACTTTTCACAACCCGTATGTTATCATATGTTTTGGAGTAACAAAGTAGCCTTGGACAATGAAAATATCAAAAAATAACATCTTCAATATAAGCTTAAGCAAGTCGATGAATTTTTAAGTAAATGATTTCATGTGCTAAAGCCATTTAGGCGCTATGACCACCACACTTGGATCGTTTAGAAAATTTAAAGAGGAATCACCCCCTCTTCCCTGCCAGGCTAAAAAATAAATGAAAGTAATTACAACATGTTACATTCACTTTTGCGGAAAAAAGGAAATGGAGTGTAACGGAATCCAAACAAGCATGTAAAACTTGATATTTCATTTTTCATAAAAAACCATCTAATATCATCAAAATGTCTATGGAAGAAAATGTCCATGACTTGATGTTATAAAGTTGAGTTCCTCTATTATATATCTAAAATCACAGTAACCATGAAGACCCTGCCATCTCTGAAGTTGGTTTTGGACGAAATGCCACTGTACAGCGTACTGAGTTGATAAAAATTCCCAGTTCAAAAAAAAAAAAGAGTAGATAAAAATTCCAGATGAGGTCACAGTAATGGAAAATTTAATACTCCTTTTCATTAAACCTGGCTGACACTTTTTGTAGTTACTGCATGTATAAAGCACCAAAATCATTCAATGAGGATCAACAGATTTATTAAGATTGGTTCCAATACTTAAATCTGAATCATTAATCTAGGGTTTAGCGAAAAACTAATCTGAAAAGGATATAAGATGTATATATATATATATATAGATATAGATAGAAGGAAAACATACTATTAAACCAAGACGCCTGGTCTGATCTGTAGTCTTCAGCATATCATCCGGATCTGTACAACAATCCAAGTCATTCTTCAGCTTCCCTCACAAAAATTTTTTTTATCACTCGCAACAAAAATGAGGAGAGAGATAAGGTAAAGGCCACTTCAAGTGCAAGTAAAGAAAGCAGTTCCACAGAGAAACCTGCAGGACATTGTGTACATAAAATTGCAATAGCTCTTACAGAAATCTATCACACCCATAACAGATAATTTCAAATGCACTATTCCAACAATACAAGATTGGCTAGAAGGGTCCACATTCAAAGAGATCCCAATATCATACAGCATTTTTCCTGTTTTCAATGATGTACATGTCAGGACAACATGTTCTTGCCAGCCTTTCTGTCAAGTGCATAAACATCAGTTTGGCTGCAACTAAATAGCATTTCAGGTCTCTGGGTTTCCATGTAGGAGGAGCCTGAGTACATCTAAGTGTGCAACAGAAAATCAATTAAAATGCTAACATGCAAAGGCAATATTAGAAGCATAAGCCTGCAAATTACAGCAGTTGGCAATTTGCACTTTTACCATTTGCTAAGTTTGGATTCCACAATCGCCAATGTTTGGCAATCCAATGCATAATGCTCCTACCATTCCGGGCCAAAGGTACGCAATCTTCCTTACATGGGGAGAGGTTGGTTTTGTGACTTGAACCAATGACGTCCAAATCATGGTTCAAGGTCGCGGTATCGGTCCTTGACTCGGGGGCCACTGAGACACATCAGTCGCGGTGTCATGGCGCGGTATCGGCCGATACGCCCAAAACACTATATAGAAGGCTCAAAAAAATTAGAAAAAAATTATAATAAATGTAAACATCATCATCAATGCATCATATCATTGCAAAAAAGAATAATAAGGATGCTACCGGAAAATATTTATTATCATCTATATTCAAGGTTAATATAATTTAATTTGTAATTTTTAAAAATTATAAAAAAATATAAGTGTATATATATGTTAACTTAATAGCTTTAAAAATAAAAATCTATTTATAAAGAAATTCTATATTTAATTATTTATTATGTATCTAATTAGAAATTATATGTATTTTATCCATTATATATATTTAACTATTAAATCTTCAATACATATACAAAAACAAACTTAAGAAGTTAAGTTCTAATTAGATTATATGATAAATATTAAAAATTATATAATTAAAAAAATTAGACCCAAACCGAAAAAACAAAGAGAAAAGGGGGGGGGGAATAAATTTTAGGATCTCATTCCTAAAAAAGCCCTAAGCCCAAATGCTCTCTCTTCAACTCTCAGACATCGTCGATCGCGAGAGAGAGAGAACAAAGACGATGGGGGATGACGAGCAACACCAACGACCGCGAGAGAGAGGGGGAAGTGTTTGGATCTGGTTTCTTGAGGGTTGCTACATCGTTCGGTAGCAGCGCCTGCCGCTACTGCTACTCCTACTCCGTCTCCTAGGGCTTTTGCATCTACGATGAAGATGAAGAGGACAAGAAAGAGAAAGTGAAAGAACAACAACTACAAAGGCTTTTGGTCTGGATGTTGTACAGGCATGTGTGTAATTTCTAATTCTTCATCTTTTTATATCATGGAGAAAAAGGGAAAAGGGGCTGATTTAGGGTTAATCTTCTATCACATCTCTTGTGCCTTTTTTTGCCATTTTTTCTCTGTTGGTCTGTGTTTTGAAAGCTTGTTTGCTCGTAGTTGATTCTGTTGGAATGAATTATTTCGAATCATTGACGAATCGATTCGAATCGGTGACGAATCGCTATCTCGCCCGAGTTGTACAGATTTTGGCCGAGACGAAACCGATTTAGGTTTGATTCGGGATTTTTTTGTTGCGGGTATCGTTATCGTATCGGCCATGGCCGAGACGGATACGACTCGGCCGAGTCATATCGGTCTCGGCCGATACCTTGAACCATGGTCCAGATCATAATAGAGCGATCTTATTGTTAAGCCATCTGATTCACTTCTTTTGATAAGCAAAGATTCATTTCAAATTCAACTGCAATAATCACACTGGTGTCGATCCCACACGTGGCACTTCATGTGACCATGCATAAGCCATATATTTAATGCAGAAGCTGAATAATCAGGCATTCATAACAGCTCAATGGTTCTAGTCCATCATAGTATTGCATGCCGATCAAGGGTTGCAGCTCATAACTTCTAACGGAGCACTAGTCTCAACCAATGATGACTTAGCCAAGTTAGAGTTGATTGGAGTCACATCAGTCCAAAATAGGCAAAATTACATGAGATAGAATCCCTTACGAAAACTAGACCAAGAGATACAAAAACAATATTCTTGTAATAAGAAAGAGGACATCAACACAACATAAAAAGAGGGGTTTGCAAAAATGGAGGGTTGGCAAAGGAAGAGTGGCTTAATGCACCACTTTTTTGATGCATCAGTGATGGGGGAGGGGAATTCAAACCCGAGCTATCCAGATCATCATAGGTAGCATATGGTTAGGATCTGCATGTACAGCAGTTAGCCCAAGGTTGGCATGTTGTTCCTAGTGTCTTAGAGTTTTAGTTGTTGGACTAGGGGCAGGCTTATGCATACACTCCTAGTTTGCGATTCCATTTCTCCTTGGTAAGAACAATATAAGCTTACCCACTAAGTTACATAATAAGATATGCTACGTCCTAGGTTGAGGATAGAAGCCAACCGGCATATCCACATAGTTTTATAGCAGCAACATGCTTAAAGCTGTGTAGTGATAAGATCTTCGTACAGTTAGTAGTCAACCTCATTTTTGCCCTCACATAAAC